CCTACCTTCTCCTAAAGTTTGGCGCGTTACTTCTGGGACACCCTGTATACATTTTGTTTTTGATCTCAGTAGTAATGTTATGCTCTTTCCTTACAAATTTGAAAATTTTAAAAACTTTGAAAATTAAAAAAAATGGCAGAAAAATTAACAGAATGTCGGGTCTTGTGAAATTCGCGACCACAAAATCCCAAGGAATCCGCATTCTGATGACAGCCTGGTCCTTAATTTGAGGCAAAATAAAGATAATGGGAATGTACCAAACTATTTCCAAACTCATCCTAACGCATGCCACCCCTGTCTGCAATAAATTGTTTATATTCTGGGTCAATATAATTTAATTTCGACTTCGGTTTCTTCAAGACATAATCTGAAGCCTTATAAATAACATAGTCTTATATAAATATTTTTCATATTCTGAGCAAAAGTTTGGACTAGAATAGAAATTTGGTAACGCTGTTTACTGGGTAATCAAACCGAATGCAATAAAACACGTCTCATGTCTAACAACGCCCAGCTAGGCTGATGTTATAACTAAGAATTACAAGCAAATTCACGCGCATGCGCAGCCATGTTAGAATACATTTGTATAGAAACGAATGTGTGTTCAATAATTGCCAGTACAGAAGACCAGTGCAGAAGCTAGACAATTAAACAAACGGTTCGTTGAAACTCCAAAAAGTCTTAATTTATGAATTTAGGCTTTCCATTTCGGATGGACGCGCTCGAAATATTATTGTTGCTAACAACTTGTACTCAACACCCAAACACACATACGTGTACACACACGCTTAGCATTTCCACACTTGTCAAGTATGATTTGTCATTTGTCATCATTCGTCGCTCTTCAATATTGCATAATCCTTTTGTGTTTGTGGCAATGAACTTTACGAACAATGAGAAAATTTCAAATGTTTTGATTTTCGACCACTTGAACTCCACCCGATTGCGACAAACTTTTAATAGTTATTTACTTATTTATTTAACTTTCTTTGATTGCTTCTGAAGAATTAAGCTTATTGAGTAGTTTGCATTTGTGTGCGACTTATTATTTATGTCTCTTCTTCTTTATTCTTGTATTCGGTGCCTATGGGAGTGATTAGTTATTTTTTAATATTTATCTCACCTTTGCGTAATTGTGCACGCTACCGTGGCTGTTGATGGGGATCCCTATTATGCATAATCTTTACAAAAGTTTTCATACAAGTCATCTGAAAAAACAGAACTAGGTACCTTACTGCTACAAAATAAGTAGTTCTCACAGTGCTTATGAACCCATTGATTGCTTATGAGTTCTAAGAATTCATCAGCTAGAAGGGTTTATATAATTATAATCACAATCTTTATAAATGATAAGGCGACTCTAACATTTGCTCAGTCGAATTGAAAACATTTATGTTGCCCTGGACGTAGATGAGATTAGCACAAAACAAAGCCCTTCTCCTATTTAACGTTATGAAATGGAATGGCAGCTATGAATGTAAATATGTATATGTAAGTGGCTCCGTTGTGTCGACTCCAAAAAATGATCGCATGGATTCCAGGAAGTTCACGAGAGCTTTCGCCTTTGCTCGCTACGGCATTACACTCCAGAAGCAGGTGAAATGATGTCTCCTCAGCTGAATCACAGAAACGGCAGAGGCCGGTCGACCAGATTCCCTAAGACGTGGAGAATAGGTGGAAAGTCGGAGTTTGTTTGTCTTTAGTTACATACGGTTTTTCGTAAGACACGAAGTAGCTCTTTTTCTGTTGAAACCTACACCTGCAATCTAAGTGCCCGTCTGATTTTGCTTGAAATCATATAAAGGGATATTCACATGGTGTCAGCTAAGAATAATTACCTCTACGTAGAATCATTTGGCTCTGAACGGGCTTTCTATAAGCCCAATGCCCAATATAACTAATTAAAGCCCCCACCGCCAAAATATAGGTAAACAGGATACTCTTTGACGAATAATAGCCAATGGACATTGGCCACGTAGACTATCTACAGGCAAATTGTAAAATAGATAACTTTGAAGCTTGTATTGTTGTTGTAGCAGCATAATACCACCGAACCGTTTGATGTTACTGGGGTGGCTGAAGTGATGTGCGGCGCACTGTTATAACATAAAAGGAGAGGCCTGCAATGAGAAGCTTTTCCATGCCAGAAATACACTAAAAGGTTTGCCATTGCCTGCCGAGAGGCGATTGTTGTTTTTCTAATTAAGATATAGCTTGGAGAAGCGATCGAAACCAGGTCCCGCAGAGTGGTGGTGGTATGCACCTCGAACTTTCAAGTCTCGTCCCCAGGTTTAAAGGGACCTATCTATAACGGAAACCCATACTGAATACCTTAAGAAGACCTGATGCATAAACGGGAAAATTAAAAACTTCCGTTGAAAGTGAATGTGCCGGGGCTTCTACAATAGGACCGAGAAGGGTTTGTCTCCAATTCGGTAAGATATTTTTTTCTGGACATTGTACAAAGCTTACAATATCTCCGACAGACTCTTTACGTTTTTAAAGAACAGCCTAACCTAACACCACCCATATATGTACATACTTTTATCACTATATATGATCCTTTTTATTATCATAGCACAAGAAAAAAAATCCATGAGCAGCCCTAAAGACATGCTCTTCATGCGCTCAGTGCCACAACTCTCACTCTCCTCAACTTAAAATATTCAAGCTTGTGTGCGTGATGAATGCAAAATATATTCTTCCAGCTAATAGAGAGTTGCCATTTAAAGCGCAGGCGCAACGCACCGCAAAACTATGAATGCAAATCCGAACAATGCGCGCCAACCTAAACACCCGCAATATAGCAAATTAATTCAACTGAATGAGCTCACCTGTGTAACTGTAGTGGTGTGTAGTTAGATTGGTTGTTGTTGTTGTTGTTGTTGTTGTTGTCAGTTGTGGTGACAATTGTAATAGGTTGTGTGTACACTCAGTGCTTCACTGTCAATGCCATTGTCGCAGAGTTTGGCGAGTTCACTGTTGACTTAGCAAACTTAAGTGGCTGTTTGCGGCCAGACTGGTGAATGTGGCAGTGTGGGTGTGTGTGTACACGTAAAAGTGTGCATAACTCTATGCGTTTCTTCGAGCAAGTGCTTCGTGTAAGTGGTGTCTCTTCATTGAATTCTTAATAAATCAAAGTGAAGAATATAAATGGCGAGTAACGCACCCGAAACCGTCGCAGTTAGTAACTTCCAGCCAACGGAGCCTCACAGTCGAAGCGAGTGCGAGCTTTGGTTTGAAACACCAACAATAGAAATTTCAAAAAATAAAAACAGCAACAAATAGTTAAGCCAACGAAATAAATACATACATACATAATACATAAGTACATACCTATATGCATCAGCCGGCAATAGTTCATGAGTAGCGGAAATTGTGGTAAAAACGGAAATCACCATAAAGGATTAATGTGCGAAATCGGTCAACATAACGANAAAAACTTTATAAATTTTTTTAAACTTATTTTGTGTTGAAAAACTGTTGGCGCATGCGTAAGGAAATTATGTGGAAACACACATTAATGTTAGTGTGCCTCAGTGGCTGCTGCTTGGCCGGACCACTACACGGAGTCAAGGTGCGTTTGAACAAATTAAATTTTTTTCCCCCAAAATGGTAACGTTTGATGAATGAGTGATTGATGTAGAAAAGTATGTTAGCAGGGAGACAGTTTGCGAAATAGCAGTTTTGTGTGAAAAAGCAATAACACTTTAAAACGGGAAGGCGCACAAATGACAGGCGAGCAATTCGCCGCTGTGTCTGTCTGTATTTATGCTTTTGCTTGCGTGTACTTGTGCCTTTCTGCACGCACATATGCACTTCCGTTGATTGCTTTGCCATAACTTAGATGACAAACGGAAGTAATACTCGTAAGCCATAAAGCGTATGAAGACGCAATCGAATGCGCAGAGTTGACCGTTAAAAGCGGGAAGCAAAAGTACGAGCATAGGTTCCAGTTTGTTTGACTTCATTGAAATTCCAGACGTCTCAATAGTAACTTCGAAAGAAAAAAATTACTGCAAACCACTTGACCACCACTTCCTTTAGTACTGAAGTGCTCCAAACAGAGCGTTCTTTCTCCGTTTTGCACCCTAAGTCAGTGTGCGTGGGCTGCTAGTTAGTATTGGTCAAAAGCAGCAAACCAAATCAAAGAGTATGAAAATGTTAATATGTATGAAATATTCAGAATTTTTGCTGCGTTCGCGTGTATTGCAAAATGGCTGTGCAATTCCGCAAATGGCCGTTCGCTCCACTTTTGGGTTTCCTTTATGTAGTCTACGACCTACCAGTAGGTAGCATATATTTTAAGCTTATATAGAATGAGCACTAAATTCTATAAAAGGTTAAAAATTATGGCTTGCGGGAAGCGTAAAATGTTAAAGAATAAAAATAAAAGAGATTCTTGAACGTGAATTAGTTATGCGGGTCATGCTGCGAAAGGAGTACTTAGGCACAAATGAAGCGGCAGAGTTTTGCAATGTTCTTAAAAAGACCCCTATTAATTTAGAACTTTGCCTTTCTTTTTCACTGAGTAACATAAGCTTTTCTTCCCAAGTATGTGTTATACGCCGATCCTTATAAACTCTGTCTTTAATTTGTGTTTTCCGATCGGTTAAGTTAGGTTCGTCGGTAATGCCTTCAGACACAAGATCCTCTCTGAAATGTTTCTGATGGCCTTCCCATCTTTCTTATCCAAAGAGCTTGTAGTCGTTTCAGTCAGCACCAAGTCTAGCTGCATGCGATTCAGTAGGTCCTGTAAGAACCACAATAGCTTCTCGATGTCTTGCCTCCTAAAATTAATTGCCTTGAGAATTCAAGTAGGGCTGACACGTTCTATCAATTTGACGAGAGGGTTCTATTCGCCCAGTTTCCTTCACAATTCATGTAAATTTTTATTTAGATTAAGGTATGCCAATACTAAGCGTTTCACTGAAATCTGTATCAAAGCTCTTTAGCTCTGAAGTTTCCTTTGCCAGGAACCTAGACAATGAGTATGTGAAATGTCTCAGTGACCTCGTTGAGAGATCGACGGCATTCTGTAGCTGTCTGACTGCCAGTGAAAATGTATGCAGAGCTATTAAGACCAGGAGACGATTCACACTGTGCCAGTAATGCATAATTTGAAATAGCCTGCAGTTCCGCCTGAAAGACAATATAGCAATCTGCAATTGAAAACTGAAAGGGCACTCCAGAGTGAATTTGAAGGAGCGAGTTGAGAAGGTCCTATCTGCACATAGCAGTTTTTAATCTATACCAAAACCGTAAAATATTTATACTGTCGTACAACAAGAAGAATAGGAAAGAAACTGAAAGATTTACTTAACTGGTGCGAGTACATACTTCTACAAATTAACCCAAAGCGTGTAATCATACCATATGTTCCAACTTATGCCTTTGGCTATGTCCCTGCCAAAATTTAGCTCGCGTAAGTATTTAATTCCATCTTTTTTTATTACTAGTTCCGCATAGAAGTCTAGCAAAGAACAGAGAACAAAAATAAGGTGCATAGTAAGAGGTAGAATGAGTTCCAACAAAACGGGACTTGAAATTCACCAGCCACGTGGTGCGACTTCTAGCCGCGTTTTGATGGAACGTGGTCTACTACTGAGCACCGTCTTTGTTTTATATGTTCTTTGAGTTTATATCTTTCATGCATAAACTTAACTGAAAGTCCATAAAATCTATAATTGTTTGCTATGGTCCGTGATTTTGCCCGTAACTATAAACAATTTGTAAAGCGTGAATTTTGTTCATCGAGAGCAGACTCAGCGTCTCAATTGGTTACGAAGTTTTAAGTAGAACCTATTGATAACAAGTAAGAAAGTCTAAGTTCGGGCGGAGCCGAACATTAAATACCCGGCGCAGGTACCGCTACATGGTAAGTCGCTGTGTATAAATTTTGAGTAAATTAGCGTCCTTAAATTTCGAGATATTGAAGTTTCAAGCATTTCTGAAATTTGCCGTTATATGAAAAGTGGTCGTAATTTGAATCTGATTCCAATAATTTTCAACGTTTTGCTTCTATGGGGCAAGCACAATAATCATACCGAGTTTGGTACAAATTGGTGGAACGGTTACCGAGATACATATATGTGATCATAAGTGGGCGGTGCCACACCCATTTTCCAAAATTTTATCATAAACGTATTTCTTGGTAAAGAATTGTTGCAAGCATCAATTTTGAGTAAATTAGCTTTAATATTTATTGATTTATCGAAGATTTCGTATTTCTCCAAATTACCGTTATATGGGAGGTAGGCGTGGTTATTGTCCGATTTTAAAAATTTTCGGCCATTTGGTATGCTGTAGCAAGACTAACAACTGTGCCAAGTTTGGAAGAAATTTGTCCAGCGGTTACCAAGATATACACATGTACCCATAAGTGGGCGTGGCTACGCCCATTTTCCAAAAATGTATAATATTCTTATTTTTCGTCTAAAAATTATTGTAAATATCAATTTTGAGTGAATAATCTTCAGTAGTTACTAAAATATCGCAGTTTTCGTATTTCGGAAAATTACCGTTATATGGGAGGTAGGCGTGGTTATTGTCCGATTTTGCCCATTTTCAATACCATCCGTCCTACGCCCGAAATAAGTGCACGTACAAAGTTTTGTTAAGATATCTCAATTTTTACTCGAGTTATCGTGTGCACAGACGGACGGACGGACGGACAGACAGTCACCGCTTAATCGATTTCTCTTTTCATTCTGATCATTTATGTATACATTTGTCTATATCTATCTCGATTCGTTTTGCCTGTTACAAACAACCGTTATGTGAACAAAATTAATATACCCTTGTGCACAAGTGCGCTCGGGTATAAAAATCGTTCGTCGCCTCATCCCCAGGCTATTATTTCAAAGTAATCACAGTCAAAACTGGCGGGTATTCTAACGTCCGAGAACCCCTTCTATGTTGCCAATAATCAATAACCAATGTCGGCACGTATTTTCTTCTCCAACTTCAAGTTAAAGAAATCACACGAAAAGAAGTCACCTTGTCTGAAACCTCGTTTCGTATCAAACGGGTCGGTGAGGTCTTCCCAATTCTGACGGAGCTGGTGGTATTGCTCAACGTCATATTAGAAGGCCGTATTAGTTTCGTGTGGATACAAAATTCAGACGTCGCGGCATGAAGACAACTTATTTTCGTGCTGTCGGAAGTAGCTTTGAAATCGACAAATAGATGGTGTGTGTTGATCCTATTCTCGCGGGTCTTTTGCAAGGTTTGGCGTATTGTGAATACCTGGTCTATGGTGGGTTTTCCAGGTCTAATGCCACACAGATAAGGTCCAATCAGTTCGCTGACGGTGGGTTTCAGTCTTTCATAAAATACACTCGATAAGACCTTGTCACAATAGTCAGCAGAGTGACAATTTTGTAGCAGCGCCTCGTCAACCTTCTTCGTTGTCAAGGATATTCTTGTGGATACCTAATCTGTCGGTTTTTATGTCAAATATGCCTTCTTTGCCTAACAAAGCGCTGAAGTCACCAAGCACGATTCAATATCGTTCGAAATGAGGCTAATGTAAATTTTGTAATTCTTTTACGGATCGTGGCTATTGCATTTCATTTGCTGATTTAGACAAGATGCTGGAGTCCCCGCGTAGCGCAAATCTCATATGCTTATGTTTTTTTTTCAGCCAACATAAGTCTATCGCATTCCTTGTTCTGCGTTGATTCAGCCTTATTGTGGGCAATGATATCTAGTAATTGGATATAGTATGCAAGTACATTCGGTTAGGCTATTCCGGGTGTATGTTTATAAATCGTAATCTATGTTTTCTATGCGCGTATAGTTTACCTGCGGGAAGGTTTTCATTCGGGATTTTTTGTACTTTCTATAGGAGATGATTTTTGTTTAATGGATCCTAATATCAGTGCACCATCATAGCTGCTGGTTTCAGGAAGGGAAGGAGTTGCTCATTTTCTCCATACAAAACATTGTCGAACATACTTAGTACTTTTTTCTTCATGCAAAAATGTTTACTTATCTAATCCCTTTCTGATTCCTATCTAACCTGCGTTGACTGCGTCAATAATGGGAGTAAATTTCCACTTAAGTTACGTTATAGCTCAGCCTGCAGGGTATAGTAATAATTCAAGAAAAGAACCTAAAAATTTTTCGATTATGAGCAAGGGCAGTAATTATCAAGAGTTCCAAAACCCAGAGAACCCAAACTCGATTGTTTAGACCAAGGTGATATCTAAGGATAGTAAAAGCCACTTGGCTATTCGCCAAGAAGAAAGTGTTCTAAAGTGTAGGCTTTTTCATGGAAATGGAAATATTTTTTCCAATAAGTTCCGGGTACCCTAACGTTTACCCAACTATAACTATCCTGGTATCTTTTTCAGTCAGTGAATCATCAGTTTGCCATACGATTATATGTGAGTTTATCCCAATATACATACATATGTATACTATATATAAGTATAATATAGTGCAGCTATAAAAGAAAATTTGTGAAATGAAAAAAAAATACCCCAGAGAAAGATTCAAATCTCCCCTACAATGGCTCAATAACTGGAAAATCACCGGATATACCCCCAAAGGTCTTATCAATTCACTATGCACCTAACCGGAGAACCCTTTAAATACTAATTCTTGTTCTTACAACTTTGGTAACCATCTCACTTACATAGCTTCAATACTAAGCTAAGTAGAAGAAGTGACAACCATTCGCGATGACGGCAGATAATAAATCATTCATAACTCGCATCGCCCACCGTATCATTGCCAACCATTACAGCGAACCATCAAAGAGTCTCATTAAAATGCAACAAATCACGAAGACTTTTATGCAAATCGGAAAGCACGCAATAAAAAGAAATTAAATACTTACAAAACAAAAAACTAATAATGAAATTTACAGTGAAGTAGCTAAATGGCATTTTAAACTATTAATAAAAGACAAAAATAAGCAAACAGCGATGTCGCAAGAAAACGCATTAGCTAAGCTACTATACATAAATATATAGCAATATGTGAACGAAAGTTTTTTCATCCGCGCACAGGTGCATTTACTGCTCAAACCAAAAGTCAAGCGAACAGCCCTACGTGGTTGCGCAAGCGTAGCGCAACTCAACAACCAAAAATGTCCACCCTAATGGGTAGCGTACGAAAAATTTCCAAATTCAAATTCACTAATCGCCAACATTAAAAAATGCATGCGAATCGCACACACATAGTTAGTTTCACTTTGCACTTAGCGCAGGAAAACTAGAACAGCAGGTGAAATTTCGTTTAGCGTTTGCGCTTCGCCATCCGCCCATAAGACCGACCAAGTGTTTTTGTTTCAACTACAATTGCGCCATTTTGCGACCAAAACTGGCGACTGTTTGTTTGTGAGGCGTTGATTGATTTCCAAATTCCGTACATTTCACCCAACAACAAACTCTACGCGCGCGCAACTAGCGCCCGCGATGTCACGTGCGCGTGTGTGACCCCGCCAGCCAGCAGCTAGCGTTCACGTTGAGCAGCTACTTATAATGCAGCGCATGGATTACATAAATTTCGTGCACCTATAATAGCAAAGTAATGAGGAGAAACTGATGGATAGATGTGGTCTAGTCTAGGTGCTTCGCGCAGATGGACGCCTACGTCCCCCAACACAGTGGCTTATAGTCTTTACTTATTTCTTTGCTTTCCGACAAGGCAAAGTTAAAGCATTTACTTGCATTGCAAATTATCTTATCTCCTTGCTTTTGTTTCAGCGAAATGTGCCCATTGTGCTGCGTGAAGAAGAAGCCGAAGTGGAGCGTCCCGCACCTGAGCCACTTGCGCCCGAGTACCCCGATATGCCGTCGACACTGACCTTGCCCAGCAATGCCACATCGATACGTGCCGACATCACCGACAACTTTTCCTGCGATGATAAAGTCTATGGTTATTATGCGGACGTGGAGAATGAATGCCAGATATTCCACGTCTGTTTGCCGGTGACGTACGCTGACGGCAAAGAGAATACATTCCGTTGGAGTTTCATCTGTCCCGAAGAGACGGTGTTTAGTCAAGTAAGTTCTTTCTCATAACATAACATTCGATTTATCTATCAAGAATATCATTGCCCTTTCGTAGGACTCATTTACTTGCATGCGCCGTGAGGATATGGCCATTACATGCGAAGAATCTGTGAACTACTACGAACTAAATCGCAACTTTGGTATGAGCGAAGATCAGAATGCCAACTCCAACAACGTACGACCAAGCGCAGAGCAAGCGGAGGCAGCAACGCCAGCAGAATCAGTCGAGCCTGCACAGCAAAATGTCCAACAAGCCGCTGCGCCTCAAGAGCCAACACAAGCAGCTGCCGCTCCTGCTCCTCCACAACCGAAACCAGTGAAAGAAAAGCCTATCAAAGTGCAGAAACCCAACCGCAGAAAGCCTCAAACAAAACCACAGCAAGACCATGCTATTCACCCCACCAACAAGCTGCCAGTTATCATGCCGCTGCGTAAGATGCCCAATGTGGGAGCAAAGGTGCCAGTTTCAGTGCCCGCGGAAGTCGTCGCCATACACGAAGTTGCAGATGAATTAAAACCTGTGCCACCACGCTACAAGAAGCGTCCTGCTGTGTCCTATAACAGCGATAAAGAAGTCGTTGAGACGCCCGCACAGCCTTTCAAGATTGAGGTCATACACACCGCCAGCAATCCCGAATCGTTCAAGCGTAAACGTCCCACATTTGCACACAAACAGAATGCGGTTGTTACAAAAGTGGCTGAGCAAGCACCCGTAGTCACGATCGTGCCTGAAGCTGAGGCAGTAGAAACGATTGTGCCTTTGGTTAAATTCGAATCTAACTCGGCCGCTGTGCCAGCGCCTGAAAAAGTAGAAACCATTACGATTAGTGAGCCAGTAGCGCAGGCCGCCGAAGACACACCAGTCGTTGTTGTGAAACCAGCTCAAGTTGCATTAGATGCAGAACCGCAAGCTTCTGAAACGGAGGAGGTTATTGTGGCGCCCGAAAATGCATTAAAGACAATCGTTGCGCAACAAACTGTGCCCCTGAAAGAAGAACAGCAAACACAAGTGGCTGCTGTAGCGCCTACTGAGATAGCCGAGTCAGTTCCAGCAGAAGAGTCAGTTAATATAGTACCAATCGTGGAAGAAACCATTAAGACTGAAGAGCCTGTTGCACCAGTAGCAGAAGAGGAAACAAAAGTCGAGGAGCCTGCGGTGGCCGAAGTTGCCCAATTTGTGGAGACAGAAAAACAAGAAACAGCTGCTGCGCCTGTTGAAGCGATTGAAGAGATTCCAGCTGTAGTTTCTGAAGCAGTCGAGAGTGCACCAGAGGTGGAAAAAATAGAAGAAGTCGCCAACCCACCAGTCGAAGCTGAGCCGCCAGCACTACCTGTACAGCCTGCGGAACCAGCCGACCAGCTAACGGGTGCATCCGAACCCATCGCTTTGGACGCTGCGCCTGAATTGGTTGCTCCCAATGAAGATAACGAAGAATACGTGCCCGCATTACCCTCCCTTGAGGAGTTAGAGGAACAGAAGCCCGCTAACGCCGTTGAAACAGTGGCGGCCACACCCGAAATGGAACAGCAAGACCCAATAGTGGAGCAAGCTTTCGACAGTAAAGATACCCATTTGCAGACTGTTGGCGGTTTCAAACCTGTGGATCCTGAATTAGCCGCAGAGGCTGAAGCTCTTATTTCGGACTTCATTAACACACTGAAGAGTGGTAATCCCAATGCGATACCTGATTTGGCAGCACCGACGGAGGAAGACTCACCTGCCGAAGGCGAAGATGCAAAAGTAGAGATAGGAGAACAGCAACAGACTGAAGAGAAAATCGAAAAAACGGAAACCAAACCCGAAGAAGCGCTATCCGCACAAGAAGCAGATACAAGCTCATTGAAAACCGTGAGTGCCGAGCAGCCAGTGGCAGCAGCAATTGAAAATGTGCCACTAGTGGCAGAGAGTGCGCCAGTTATAGAAACGGAAGAACAAAAAGACTCGCCTTTGCTTAATTTCCCCATCTCCAATAGTTTCCCAGCCGACATGTATCAAATTCCAGTAACAGTTATTCAGACGCCATACGAAGAGATACAAGATATTCAATCGGATGTGCAAGAACCACAACAAAGTAGCGTAGAGGAGGTAAAAGCTGACGGTGCTCAGTTCGAAGCGCAAGCTCAAGCAGAAGAAGAAAAGCAGGAGGGTGTAAAATTGCTGCCAGAAGAGACTGCGATCACACAAGCTGAAACCGCAATCACAGAAGAGCAAAAGGTTGAGGATATCCCCGCTGTTGAAGCTCAGCCCGAAGCTGTTCAGCTCGCAGTGCAGGAAGCTCAACCTGAAGAAGCTGTAGAGCCTCAACCTGACACCGTACAACCCACTCTGCCCGAACTGGTAGAAAGCGAACCTGAAGCTGAACTACCCGCAGCGCCTGTGGCCTTCAGACCCATCAGCATCGACGATATTGTCGAACTCGTGAAAGAGCGTTTAGATCAGGTGCCTGCCGATGAGAAGGGCGCACCCATGGAACTGCTGATGGAACCTGACAATGCTGACAAGCCTGTCGAGCTGAAATTAAGTTCGGAAAATGGGTCAGCGGCGCAAGAAGAATCAGCTGAACAAACACCTGCCGAGGATATCATTTTTCCCATTTATCATCGAGTGTCCGAGCCTGAGAGCAGCGATATCAAAGCGCAAGAGGCTATAGCTGTAGACGAGCCAATCGCTGTAGTAACAGACCTCAAAGCGTTACCGCTGGAGACGGATGCCGTACAGAATGCGCCAGAAGCGGTGGTGCAAACAGCGGATCAGGCTGTACAAACGGACGCTGAGAAACTTGAAGCGAACGTAGCCAAGACAGCCGAGAACACAGAGACTGAGACAAATATCGCGCCAGCAGATGATGTAAAGGAACCTGTAAATGCAGTAGCTGTTGAGGTTGCAGCGGCCGATGCGCCAGTGGACATTGAAACAGCAGAAGTTACCAAAGCAAATCGCTCGTTGAGATCACGCAGCTTGACGAAAGCTAAACTAGATCCACGCAAACGTCGTTTTCTCTTCAGATCGGATGCCAGTTAGAGATTTCAAGCAATTCGAGTATGCCCATTGAGCACACCCTGTACGCCATACGGGGTGCGCATGCGCGTTCGCACGCAACCCGCCCATGAAATTCCTACAGCCTAGGTTTCTAATTTTTCACTACAAATATTACTTTGCTTTTGCATTCGCAAGCGGACTACAAAGTTTGGGTCGGTCGGCGGCTTAAGAATAAGTTTTGTATTTGAATTCTTATTCTTCAGCATGCAAATGAAAAATATTCTCTTCTCCAACTTTTTTCTCCTATTTAAGTTAAACTAATTTATGATTTTAGGTCTACTTTTTCATTTGAAAAATTATAAAAATGAAAAAGAAAATGCAAAATTTTTGAAAAGTGCGTGAAATTCACACAGTTTCGTTTGCCGAAGCCATATAAGAAAAAAAAAACTAATTTATTTTGTTGTTATACGAAGTAGAAAACGAGGAGTGTGATTTTTATATTTACTACTAAATACATAGTTTATATTGAAAATTGTTTAAAATGCTCCACAATTTAAGTTGAACAAAAATAACAACTGAATAAAATTAAAAAATAATTTAAAATATCTACTAACATTTTTAATTTATTATCTGAGTTGATGTGAAAATATATCGAAAACATGTGAAAGCTCGAAGTCAAGCAAAGCTTTCGACTAATAAAGCTAATGTGTAAGTTAGGTAGATTTTTAGTTAACTTTTTTAAAAAATTTTCAAACATATATATTTTTTTTAATTAACCAAGTGGAACCTTGAACCTCGACGCCCACTCCCTGCTTGTTGGCTACAGTCGTGCCTAAGAATGAGTGTTTTGCTTTTATTGATTGGCATTCATCTTATGGACGATTGTTGTTGATGATTATTAACTGCTCAAAATTTGTGTAAAGAATGTAAATTTAAATTTTTAACGAACGAAAATTAGTTATTTGAAAAAAATATAAAAAAGTTGTTTCTTAATTTTTTGTGGCGTATGTTTTAATATATTTTTTTAAATTTTTTTTTCAGTAAATTAAAAAAAGGCAGTAGTGTCAAACCTAATTTTGGAAATATTAAATGTCGTTAAAAAGGCTAATTTTTATTAAATTATGAACCGGTCTTTAAAAGTTTCTGTTCAGGATTGAAAACAGTCTATCTTTAGTGGATAGTGATGTTGTATTTCAATGTTATAGAATATTTTTAGGAACATAAGATAATGTGTACGCACGCATGTTTCGATTTAACGATTTTCTTAGGGGGAATGCAGACGATATAACAAAATTCATACAAAATTTAAATAATTAAAACAAAATATAAGTTATAATATTTAGCAGCAATTTTTCAAAATTATACAATTCACGTATTAAACTAATTAGATTTTCGTCCAGGGTGGTGAAAAGTTAGAAACAGAAATGGAGATATAGCCCTTTAAATTTAAACCGTAGTGGAGAGGGGACACTGTCCCTTCGGAGATATGTCTCGTTATTCGCTGATAGCGTGGAATGACAAACTGTGCCGAAAAGAGAGTTATCGGCCGATGAGACTCACCTTTTTTTAGCCCATTTTCCGNACAAACTGTGCCGAAAAGAGAGTTATCGGCCGATGAGACTCACCTTTTTTAGCCCATTTCCCCGCCAACGACATAATGAGCACCCCAGATAGATATATTCTAATGCCGATATACCCAAGTATAACAAGCGTACTGGCTGTATAGCCATATCCAATGAAGGACGCAATGAGAACTACCGGCTTAAATAAGTAGCGCTATCGGTTCCCACGAGTCACCATCACATAATGCGATTTCCAAGCGCCGTCATGGTTGAGCAAAGCTCGCTACCACCAGAGGGAAATTTCTAGATTTTCAAGGGTCTCTCTCTTCTTATTTTCCTCTTATGCTTTCTTGAATCACCCTAATTATGCCCTGACATTCTAGTGTGAAGTTGGGGGCCGTAAAAGCAGCAGATGCCATGTGGAGGAAACAACAAGGCGTCACATGCCCTGTGGTCCACGCTGATTACACCTAAGAAAAGGGCGGGTTTTTAGGTGGCTCCATCTGCTGCAAAAGCTGCGATAAACAGATTTATTGATCGGCATTATCATTGGAGTTGGACTCAATACTATCTCGAAGCAGAAAGATGCGAAGCAACCCTGCTATGAGTGGAAAATTTGCATTTACTGTCCAAATCATAAATGGTCAATTGCGTTCGTTATCACACCAAGTTGAGCACATTTGATGAAGGGTATACACGGGGCTATAGAACCTCATTTGCTAAAGAAGGAATCAAGAAACTTTGACGAGGTAGGAGAGGTAGCATAAGCTACTCTTTCAGTTATCACATAAATAATAATGAAGTAATTATATTTGTTCGAATTTTTCTTTGAAATACCTAAATTTATTTATCCTGCTAAGTTTTCCCGGTACTTCTTGGCAATCAAATGAAGCAAAAAACATGAATTAGTTGATAAAACTTTAGTACTTTGGAGAATTCGATCGAAGGCGTTAATATAAACCACATTTTATACTTCCAACTTGAGCATTCATGCGATGATATTGAGTCTATAATTTCCGCCTAGGTTAGGTAAAACTAAAAAAATTTATAGGCTAAGAAAACTTAGTATCCTAGGTGCCCTTTTTATGTAGCTTTTGAAATGTAACGGCCCTTCAAAAACATTTTTTTTTTTGAATTAATAATTATTTCAGGATCAGTTTACTTTTTGAAAATTTTGATGAGATAAGGTTTCATTGGGTATCGTTAATAATAGGCTCGTGGCTGGAACTAATCTAATAAGACAACTTCCTATACGCGGCTGAGTGAACAGAGGCACTTTACAAGTAATTTTATCTCTGCTCTGGATAAATAGGGATTATAAACGACTTGTCAGGGGTTCTCGATAAGAGAGGCTGCCGCGTGACTGCACACGTCAATAAGGGAAACTGTATTGCTGATTGGGCGCCCCTGGAACGATATTACCAGACAGTGAAGCTTATTTTAGCTCTGTTTGACGACTAAGACATTCTTACAAAGCCACCGGTCTATTAATTGGTGGGAGTTCTAACAGGTTACTGTCGGATCGAAGATCACATAGTAAGATGAAAAATTAATAAAATACGTCTTTCATAGCTAAAAACTGAATTTTTCGACAATGTTGATACAAACACCTCTGCTAAATATTTCACAAATAAGTTACTTTTTGAATATTCTGCATGCACACATATGTGACTTCATACAGCTATTATTACATTTGATTAAATAAAAATAAATGGAACGCTCGTGGTAAGCCTGTAAACATTAAAAGTTACCCACAGGCAGCTTTTGGGGGCAAAAGGGTTTATATTTACGTATAAAAAGTTCACATTAATTATCTTCCTAAAGTAATTGGTCTCACGCTTTATTTTTTACTTCATAACTGACTTTCTTAAATACTAAACAAAATACATATCGGTTGGCTGCGCTTATTTAATATAACAATTTTTTCACACAAAATTATTCTATCTAAAATTTATTATAAACATGAGTTTAATTTGATAACATTTAAAAATTTTTTTTTTATAATAGGAATTGTTATAAAAATTTTTCTTAAATGATTTATTTTTAAACTTTGGGTAACTAGCTGTATAGTTTCAAAACCGAGTAAATTTACATTTTTACATAGAAGTAGTTACAAAAATATGTAAGGCCATATTCATATTACATACTTAGTTATTTAAGCATAAAAATACAAAAGAGAAAAATTATAGTTAATAGAAAATAAAAGTGATTAACTATAAAAAAAAACTTTGCTTACAATCACATTATAAATACTTTGGTTTATAATTCATTCTTTATCAAGTTTGCTTTACACCTCATTCTATAGTGATTTTTGATTAACTGTTTAAGTTGCTTTGCGTAAAGTTTTTATCGATCAAAATTTTAACCAAAAAAAAAAAAATATTGTAAAAATCTAATTTTGAAATAAATGTTCTATAATAATATGCAACAAAAGTACGTTAATGCACTTTTCCGCTCGGATTTAACGGTAATTATACTTACTTATTTATATAAGTAAAAAATTTAATTTAAAATTTTTAATATAATTCAATAACAGCTTTAACATCAAAATATTTTTATGAAAGCGGAAACAAATTCATAAAGTATGCTACCCTTCATCTGATAGAAGAAAATCAAGTGACTTGTAGGCGCTTGGTTTGGTTGTACTTTCTATTTTCGAATTCTTGAAAAAAAGCAGCCTTTTAGGCTTTCATATCCGTTTGTTTATATCTTGTTTCTAGCAGCCATAAAGTAAAATTGAAATACAAAGTAGCAAAAATATATATGAAAAACACAAAAATTAGTTAAAGAAAACATTATTTTGCTCCACTGTACAAAAAAGTGAAAATATACATACCTTTTTTAATAAATTATTAAAAATATTGGAAATATTTTGTTTAAACTTAAGAATATGGAAATAGTCGCTATTTGATAGAATATTTAAGCTTATTTCCTACTGAAATTTCAAACTCGAACGGAATTAACCGTTGACTTGTGTACATATAGATACATACATATATACAAAAATGCAATTTAATAGTTGCTTTAAAAAGAGCAAAAATATTTTAGTTCCAGCCCTCACTATTTATCCACCTTGTGACTCGAGTAAAAAATACCTTTTAGCTGCTTTACAGATACCAAAGCACGCACTTGACATCTCATTCAAGCCTGAAAAAAAAATACTTATTTACATATGTCACTTATAAAACGAAAAAATAAAATGCACTGATGTACCAATAACCAACTCACCGCTGCAAGCCTAGGCCTCCGTCTCTTCATTGGCTCCCTCTTGCAGTTCCTCGGGTGTACGCAAATCGATTGCGAATTTCTGTCGTTGTGTTGTAATATTATCTGTCCCAGATTTTTCACCACTCTCCTTCACTCGCCGCGAATAATCTTGAAATGCTGCCGCTAGTGCAAAGGTAAGCTTCCGCGCCATCGCACGACTATCACACACGAAGGCATGCACCTCGAAAGGATGTGGGTTTTGTTCATCCTTCACCACAATCATTGCGAATACGCGTGTATACACTAAATCTTGCACACCATACGAAATCGTATCGATTGGATATTTCCAATTATTCAAATTTGATTTTGGTGTTATGATTTGCAGGCTAACGCCTTCGGTCGATACTTTGAGATCACATTGTGGTAAGACTTTGTTGGGTGGTAGACTTTTGGCTACGCCAACCATAATATCCACCGGACGGCGAGTATATTTGATGCCCCACAGACCACGCGCCACTTCGGAGCCGATGTATTTTACCTGAAAGGATCAGTTCATTATAGTATATTTTTTCAAGTAAGTATTCTGCTTAAATATAATGGTTGAAGTTTTGTATATAAGAGCTTTATTTTTGTAGCAGGATTTCAGTCGTTTATTAGAAATATGTAAATGTATCTTACGAGAATATCGAAGGCCATAGTTATAGTTCTGTTTTCAAAATAGGTCATAGCGAAACATAGCGAAAAAACTACCCATCGCTTTTTCGAAGATATCATTAGAATCCTGTACCGTTGTAGAATATACTTCCTGCTTTGAAAGCTTTCGGAACCTCAATGAATTTTTTGCTACACCATTGCAGATCCGTTATAAATTATTGCGATTTTTTTTTGTGTTCGGATTTTTCCGGGATCGTTTAGAATTTTATACAACTTACATTTCGGCAATTTTTCGAAACATTTCAGCATCGCAGAGATGTTTCGGGATTCCTTGTATTCTATTTTTCGTAATTTTATTGGGTATTTTCAAGACCATTTGGAATTTGCCATGACTTTTGAAATTTTTTTATCAGACCTTTCAAAGTTCTTCGTACATATTATATTTTTCGGGAATGATTTGAATTTTATAGGGATCTTTTGGTAATGTCCACGTCCAAATTATATTCTCTGTGACCTTTCAGAATTCTTCGTATTGCATTTTTCGGCATTTTTAAGCGATTTTATTTGGCACCATCCAGCATTTTTTGAGACTTATCTACTCTTCGAAAATTTTTCAGACATTTCGGCGCCTCTAACATTTTTTAGGAAATACTTGTAGTTTTTTATGGGATTTTTTCCGGGACTGTGCAGGTTTTTTCCGAATTTTCGTCTCTTTGAATTATATAGTGACTTTTCAGGACGGTAAATCACAAATTATCGTGAGTTTTCTGGCTTTTCTGGCAGCTTTCAGAATTCTTGGTATTTGATTTCACAAAAGATATTTTACGACGCGATTTGCTTTGTACCACGATTCAGACATGCGTATCAATCCCCTGCAAAAAATAGGACTAATCCGGGATGACTCCGGGAGCAATCGCAAAGGAGCATGCGACTCAAGAATGATAGAATACAAGATTGCGCCGATCAGAGAAGATTTTGGAGAATAACATTTGTGTGACGTCACACTGGTGCAATTGCGAGAGAGAAATGCCAAAACGTGAGCAAGAATGGAAGAAGAAGAAAAAATGTTGCAAGGAAAACGTAAACAAGTTGCACAAGTGTGACGTCATGCAAACAACGATTCTGTCAAATTCATTAAGAGAGGAATAGCGGTCCGAGATCGGCGCAACCTTTGTATTCTCTCAATCGTGCATGCGACTAATACCACTTTTGATCTCTTTATATGGAATGAACTGATCGCTTTTGTTCGAGCATGTCCTATGAAGAGACTAATTGTTCACCTTTATACCCGAAAGGGTATAAAAAGCGAGTAGTCACTTTTAAAAAATAAAAATAAAAATTTGCGCCAGCTGAGATTCGAACCGGGTTGATCAGTTTTGTTAGGCGAATACTCTCTCTGTGTACCAACGCCGCACATGAAATTTCATTGACTAAGTGCGTACATATCATTAAATCGTTAATAGTACCCGTTAGAGATGAGTTGGGGACTAATTGCTCTCCAATTATACCCATAAGGGATGAGTCGAGACTAATTGACCTCCATTAGTACCCGTATGAGACTAGTTGCGACTAATTAATGCCCAATTGTACCCGATTGAGAGTAATCTCGGAATACTCTCTTTAGAGATTAGTCGCACAATTTTTTGCAGGGTCATATCAGTTAATACTAACTCACTCTGCACCCTTTTCCAGCATTCTGTTCACAATAGGTGGACGCATCTAAAACATACATACATACGGTTAAGTAGATGGTTTATTTAACTTTATATATATATTTTTTTAATCAGTTAAGTAGTTGAAAAAGTTTTCTGCAGGGTCTTTGGCTCGCAATTGGACTTGGCTCTCCAACTGCAACACACATATATATCACCATACATATTTTCAAAAGTATAGTACATAGTAGATTTGGGTTGGCGCAGTGACCCTCCATAGCATTGGGCATGCGCATGCGCACAGCTACCGGATGTAACGGAGCTCCTCGACGAACGAATGTCAGACAGGCACAAATTCAAATTAAAGAATAAAATTAAAAGGTAAACGGTACATACATAAATACAAAAAGCGTTGCGAGTAGTTAAATATACAAAGTTTACAGCACAGTTCCACAAGTCCATCGAATTTGTGTAGCAACCAACTTTTAAATATGTAAGTATATATGTAGATTCAAAACATTCTAAAATAATATACATATTTTGTATAAATTGTATGGACGGTGGTACGTGAGTGAGTGAGGGGGAAGCATATTAAGTTGTTATCGCAATCGACGAAATTTTAGTGTGCAGCGATGTGTATCGTTCGTTTGGCCTGCGTTGGCGGACAAATACATGTACATATACATACACATACATACATATTAGCATGTTAACAATTAAAAAATATACATATATACATATAGTGTAACTCCAAAAGTTCCTTTCTATATAGATACATACATTTGTATGTGAATACGATTTTACAAAAATTATTTTTCAACAATTACGCATATGAAAACTTTAAAATTATTGCATACTAGAGCTCTAGATACCCGGGTATCGAGCAATGCGAGTAGCTCGATACTCGCTCGAAACTCGTTCATTGCTCAACTGCTCAAATGTTTGTTCAAAAATTTCGAGTTTTTGAACAATTTCATAAACAAAAGAAAATTTGTAAATTGTATTTGTCAGCAGCTGCTTTCTAATTCATGTTAAATAAATTATATTATTAAATACCAGAGTAGCAATCTTTGCATTATATATCAATAATTTGAAAAATTTAAAAAGTTGCTACCAAAAATGTCAATATAATAAAAAAAACATTGCTCAAATTACTCGAAAAAACTCGAATTGCTCGAGCCCATGCTGTTTGAAAATGTGCGAACAAAATCGAGAGCTCTATTGCATACAATAAGCCAGAAAGGTTATTTTTTTTTATTTAAAGCATAGCTAATTTCTGCTTAGATATTCACGAGTGATATATAAAAAGCTTATAAATTGTATTTTATTATTTACATGCATATATAGGTACATACATACTATACATACATACACATGCATGCGCATTAACTGAGGCATGGGCTATGAAAATGTACACACACTTCCGGTTTTATTTTGCAGTTGGAAATATTTTTACGCTTTGAAGGCTCAGTTAATTTGAAATTGATTTCACATATGTATATATACATATATGTATTTGTTTTCCGGTTAACGATGTATGTCATAATTTTGCCCTTCTGAACAATCAGGCCATATTATAATTGCTCTGTTCTGGTCCAAAGCTAGAGGCGACTTACAGCAAAAAAAAAGGTCGTTGGAGCAATCCTGTAACGGTTCCTTGCATTTTGGAGGCAAATTAGTAAGTATTGAAAACTTATTTAAATAAAGACTACTTATTTCTATATTGCTACTGTAATAAATGGGCGAATCAACAACTACATATATTTCGCAGTATAGTATATTTAGTAGGTGTTTTAAAAATATCCACTTAGCTTAAACTCACCTTAAATGTTAATGGCAAATCTTCCACATTCACTTGGGAATCTAAATCTGTTGTCGATGTGGACGCCATGGTCTTTGGCTTTGGTCGATTTTGTGTAAACAGGAAGGATTTCTAGTCTGAATTTCGTGATGTTGAATTAATGGAATGCTGATAGTTGTCCCATAATAGAATTCCAGCTGAAACCAATCAATAGATATTTGTAATTTCTTGTAAATTTCTTAAGATATCTATAAGCAATAAATATTTAAAGATTAAAATTAACATATCAAAAAAATTTTATCGTAAAATTTAAAAGGGAACTGAGAACTTTGTTGAACAACTATGTCCAAGAACTATGAACAATAGTAAAAATATATCAATAAATTTTTTAAGTTTAGGAAGAACTCCTTGGAAAATTGGTTACCTCTGTCAGAGAAGGGTCTATATATGAACGCGGAAACATTACTATAGTATTTATTTATGGTTAATCCAGAAACCACGAAGTCTGTTCTGCCTTTTCCAAGTTGGATAGGGAAGCAAAGCGCATGGCTCTGGTGGTAAACGAGGACAAGACGAACAGTCGGCACATTCGCGCCTTGGCACCCACGTCACTGTTGACAGTTACCATTTCGAGAAAGTAGAGAATTTCGTTTACTTGGGAACCAGCATTAACACCGATAATAATGTCAGCATTGAAATCCAACGTAGAATCACTCTTGCCAACAAGTGCTACTTTGGACTGAGTAGGCAATTCAGGAGTAAAGTCCTCTCTCGACGTACGAAAACCACGCTCTATAAGTCACTCATCATGCCCGTGCTGGTATATGGCGCAGAAGCATGGACAATGACAACATCCGATGAGGCGGCTCTTGGGGTGTTTGAGAGAAAGATTTTGCGGAAGATTTACGGTCCTTTACGCGTTGGCGACGGCGAGTACCGCAGACGATGGAACGATGAGCTGTATGAGCTTTACAACGATATGGACATAGTGCAGCGAATTAAAATACAGCGGCTCCGCTGGCTTGGTCATGTGGTTCGAATGGACACCGACGCTCCAGCTATGAAAGTATTCAACTCGGAACCCGCTGGTGGTAGCAGAGGAAGAGGGAGGCCCCCACTGCGATGGAAAGATCAGGTGGAGAAGGACTTGGCTTCACTAGGCGTTTCCAATTGGCGTCAGTTGGCACAGAGGAGAAAAGACTGGCGTGCTTTGCTGGACTCGGCCAAAATCGCTTAGGCGGTTACAGCGCCAAAAAAAGAAGAAGAAAGAAGAAGAAATACAGAATCTGAAAAAAAATTTAAGAACTAGCTTCAAACCTCAATAAACCGGATTTCTGTTAGCCCCAGAGAACAACAGGGACGACGGGAAATATCTTCCCGCCGCAGAGGAGAAAAAACGCCGCATACGGAGTCACGCAGGGATTAGGCGCAATGTGAGCTATGTATGTGGGATCGACACAAGGAGNACCGGATTTCTGTTAGCCCCAGAGAACAACAGGGACGACGGGAAATATCTCCCCGCCGCAGAGGAGAAAAAACGCCGCATACGGAGTCACGCAGGGATTAGGCGCAATGTGAGCTATGTATGTGGGATCGACACAAGGAACTGAGGAGGGAAGCAAAACATATGTATGTATGTATTTTATGATAATACGAGTAAGAACACTGTACGAAAAAAATCGAAACCCACGAAGCATTAAAATGCGTTTTTGGTTTTTCTCTCTGCCGTCAGGATTTTTTAGAAGGATCTTGTCAAAGATATGATTAATTCCAAAGTTATTTAAAAAACGCAATGCAGTGCAGAATAAGAATTCAGTAGATTAAAAAAAAAACTAAAATATTTTGGTTCCAATGAAGGTATAGGTATTGAAAATATCATTTTAATTACTTTTATTTTTTTTATACTAATAAAGTTAGAAGGTAGGCAACAAAGGCAAGGGATGAGCAACTGGCGCGAATTCTCTCAGGAGAGAGGCAATTGGATAAGCTTTTTGGTCTCGGCCCAGAACGACAAATGGTTGTAGTGCCAAATAAGAAGAATATAAGAAAGTTAGAAGGACGAAATTCTAGGATGTGGTCGAGTGTGTATTAGTCCCGAAAGGAAATTTTCAATACCTAATCATCTCAGACAAGGGAGAATTATTTTAAGAGCAACCGATGACCGATGGTATCCAAAGCGTGCTTTAGTTATGGATGGAAAAATTTTTCACCTAGCTAGCGCAGTCGTTGAACCCGATTCATAGTCGGACAATGGCCCACAGTCTAACTATGTCGGGGTATGATTAGCAACTTCCCGCCTGAAAAACAGCCAGCTGCGCTAATAAGGTACGACGGCGAGTTGTTAATAAGGTGCATGCATCAACTCTTGTGCAGGATATGGTCGTATACCCGATGATTGGACTTTAAGTATGCTCTGCCTAATCTAAAAGAAAGCTACTTTCGACGGCAGGAAAAGAGGCCTGCACGCCACGATGTCTAAAATTGCTAATTTATGTTGAGGTTTTAAATAGGAAACTCTCTAAATACAATGTGGGACTTTTTTAAACTGATTTTGGAGAGTTTAATAAAAGCTGTTATTGATATTGCTATCCTCAGCTTCAACAACCTCAAAGTTTACTCTGCCATTTTCAAGTTGAGTATGGAAGCGAAGCGAATGGGCGCATGCAAAACGAGATGAATTCGTCATCGAGAAGACAGTCAGCACACTCGCGACACGGAAGTCGCGTATGTAACGTAGAGAGACGCTACAATGCAGGTGTTTCGTTTGTAAACAAAAATCAGCTGTTCCTTATGGCCGCATACGCGGGATTTACACAAGTCGATTTCCTACAGGCAATAGCAATACATTCACACTGTTTTACTAATATATTAACACGTATCTCATTGTCTTCTTCACTGTGTTTGATTTTTTGAAAGACAGTTTACTGTCTGGACGCATACTTTACTCAAACATTATGACAACTAGTACATATTCTCAATTGTCTTGCTTTGTGTAAACGCAAGGTTATACAACTGTCGGCATTGCCGGGCTTATTTGCGTCAAAAAATGAGAATTGGCCAACGTTCGATAGCTACGTCGACACAAGTGTTGCCAATTTCTGGCGCCCTCTATGCAAACACAAACAGTCTATTCAGCTGTCAGTTTCATCCTTCAGCGGAACGTTCGCAAAGTACCCACTCCGACGGCGCCATTCCAGTTACAACTTCGTAAAATTGGAGTGCTAGTTTACTAATTTGGGAGCCAGCATTAGTCTGTGAGAATTCTCCGAATAGAATTAAAGATCTTCTTACACGCCCCAAACACTTATGGTTTTAACTTAAATCTTTATATAAAGTCTCTTTGAAATTTAAAATGAAAAGCTTTATATATAGCCAAGTGGTAGCCGTTATCAGCACAAAAAAATTTTTTTTTCAAAAATAAACTTTTGTTTACCCGGTGAGTAACTGTAATGAATGTCACCTACTTGTTCAAAGCAATGAAGAGTTAAATAAATATAAGTGCACATGTATGCATGATATGTTAAGTACCCAATTGGAAATCGACAACTCATAAAATGACATGGCTTGCCGGTTGCTGAAATTTCCAAAGAGACATCAATGAATTTTTCAAACAAGATCTCGTCGTTAGGCGTAGTGTTCAGCATGACCCACCACCTGCCTGCCTATCCTAGTTAATTTGTACCACTTTGGCTGGGATTTTTTGAGTAAAACCAATTTTTTGGCTCTTACGCTTTTGCTAAGTGTTTGGTCGAACTTTTTTTCGATTTGTGGTGTGCGCTTGACCACACAAAGTGAAGGAGCCACCTTCGAACGGCCAATAGTTTAGGAGAGAAATTTTTTTGGTCGAAAATTGCCAGTGCCTGCCGAGAAGCAACGGCTATTATAAATATTTTTCGTTGAATATATATTGTCATCGGTGGGTAAGGCTGAGTTCCAAGTTCGAAGGAAATGCCCAATATGCGCAAATTGGTTCCAATTCGGCGCTTGAGCGTGGTTGCGCATCTTGGATATTTCCATCTATTTTAGTTTAGAAAAGAAAACGTCTGATGAATTGCATTGATGCAACTTGTAACTCATTCTAATTTTCCCACTGGGTGCATACCTATGTACGTTTGTATGAATGTATGAAAATTCATATGACTTTGTGCACACGTAAGAACATTCTGAACCAGACAATATTTTGAGATAAAAAACGGTGTTATATGGCTAGACATGCATACGATTACACACGAATATATATGTACATGTACGTACATTAGTGTGCGCCTTATTTGTATGGAGACAATATTTTTTTGTAAGCTACAAAGCAAAATTCCTCCTAAATAGGTTCGTTTGGTCATAGAAATTGCTTTGCACAAAATTTGCAAAATCGGGTACCGGAAAGACCTGCCCCAAAGCCCTAAATTTACATACGCTAGTTTATAAAATTTTACATAAAATAGGAAAAAGAGCCTATGATTCAGCAAAAACTGCTACGTCATTTTCATATTTTGTCAAGATTTGAAGTTATTGAGTCTTGAACCTATCGACGTGGAATATTACTTTGTAGGTCAAAGTTAAAAAGTAAGGCGCACCTTAATGTACATACGGTGACTCAAACAAATGACCACGCGTAGATATTTTTTTTTTAATATTCATATTCATATAAATCGCAGTTTCAAACTTGATGCAAAATTTAGGAAAATTCAACAAATTTTCATCAAAATTTCCCAAAACAAAAATCTCAAAAGTCAACGCGATTTTTTAACCGGTAGAAACTTGCACTTGACAAGACTAGAATTGTATGGGCATACACAAAATGTTCTAGAGATTCAGAATAAAAAGTTAAAATTTTGATAAACTTGTGGAATTTTCCTAAATTTTGTAATAAGGCTTGAAACTGTGATTTATATGTTTAAAGCTCGAACGGTATTTTTGTAGAAAAATTACAAAAAAAATTTTGCTCTAAAAACATTACGAATACATATTTACAAAAAATCAAAACGCGGTCATTTGTTTGAGCCACTGAATATAACCATAAAAATGTTATTATTTTCAAAACTTTGGGAAAATTCCCTTTTCTGTTAAAACTATTTGTCGGTTTTATATGCATTTAAGTTCCACGAGAACCATATTTTTTGGACATTTTTATTGACAAAATTTATGATATGCATTTCCATGAAGGTTTAGCTATTTTACGTTTCTTTAATTTTACTTAAACAATTATTTCGCTTTGCCGCACTCACAGAAAAGCTTTTTTCATTCAATTTCACAATAAATTAAAAACTCTATTTTATTTTTTTTTAGCTATTTCCACACACTCATTTGTTTTATACATTTTTAAATAACAATGCCATTTATTCATTTATTTTTCTTTAGCGAACTTCAACTGTTTGCGAGCTTGAGAAATTCACAGCCACAATGGGCAATGGAGAAAACATTCGTAACGAAAATGTCTAACGACCGCACCGCATAACAGGCCCGTTGGAATTGTTTTTCCGCCACCGTTGCTTCCGACTTTTTTCGATGCTTTTTGGCTAGCGTACACAATAATCTGTCAGGTCACAGCGAACCGCTGTAGCCAACTATAATAGCAGCAGCATAGCGCATTGGGCGATCGCCCAGGTGAGCTGCCAACAACCACCAGCCGATCATTGTTGGCAGCGACCGGTGTGTGCGCGCGCTTGCGCCGGCGACAGCGGCGACTGCGCACATTTCCCACAGAGTATGGTTTACGAAATGGCTCCAAATTACTACAACTACAGTTAGCGGCGTAAATTTTGCTGCCACCGCTATATACAAAGTTGATTTGTTATTGTAGTAAGGTAACTATTGTTTTTCTGCTGCTACTGCTGCTGGTGGCGTCTGGCTTTACAACTCACACCGCTGCTGTCAACTGCTTAGTTGTTGTTGGTGCGTGCCTCTTCAATGCGTTGTTGGTTACACTCGCAACATCGGAAACATCAGAAACAAGCAACAATGGCAACAACAATAAAATAAATAAATAATAAAACAAAATAACACCGAATACAATGGCATCAGTGATCGTACAAATGAATGAAATAACCGATAAGCAGATAAAGAAATATTTATGTTTGTATGCGCGAAGTCGCGATATGAATAGACACGCAGGCATGCATTGGCTGAAATTTAAATACATACAGTCAGCGTCAAAAATATGAGTACGCTGACGTTTTGACGATTTTATTTATTTATATTTCCCATACAAAATTTTTCTAATTTTTTTTAATTAAAATATACATAGTTTATTCAAAGGCAAAAACGAGCAGAATTATTTTTTTTGAATTTCATTAGAACTCGAAAAAATTCAGGAAATACCAACAAATTTTCATCAAAATTTTCAACTTTTTAATTCGAATTCTAAATTTTGAGTTTGCAGTTTTGAAGCCCATTAAATTTTTGTGCAAGTTTCAATTCTCTAAAAGTTGCCGTTGCCGGTTTTGGAAATTTTTTTTTCTCAAGGGTGTTGCGCATTTTCTTTCATATAACGCATGTGCAAAATATATTTTTATATGGAAGAAAGTACGCAACACCATAAATAAAATCGTCAAAACGACAAGGGTATTTATCTATATTTTTGACGCTGACTGTATGTTTGTTTGTAAGCATGTATGTATGTATGTGCATTCATTTGTATGAGCTGGTAGTTCGTAAAGCAATGAAAATGTAATTAAAGCAAAAAGCAAAAAATTTGTATATATAAAACCAATATCTGCTACATATGTACATACATACAACAATACCAAGCTCCATTTGTTGAGCTCAAATTGAGCGGTGACTTGAACTACAAAAGTTAATGACCACTGGACGCGACAATAAAATGGGAAAGAGATGAGATGTGTTCCAAAAAGTTCTAAAATTATGTTAAGTGACTTTTCAAAAGCTTTAAATTTTATTCACAGGCCAATTCTGGCTGATAGTTGCAAGTCTTTTGTAAGGCAATAGAAAAACTATAGGCAAGATAGTTTTAAAGATTTTGTATATTCTGGCGCGAAAGCTCCCTCGACCACTTTCGTGGTGAAAAGCTCTTTGACAGAAAGCACTTGAGCATGTTCCAAATGCAGATGAAGGTCATTTCGGTCGCGCTGCCCCAACAGTCGCAATGACCGAGTGAGCCAATCACCAGTATTGCCGCGAATAATTTTTAAAGGTTGCCAAATTCCTTTAAAAAGAGCTAAAAAATACATTGTGGCTAAAAAAAAGAAGCTACATTTTTTACTTACATATACATATATATAAAAGGACACATACACAACGCCAGCTTGCTGGCACTATCAAGAGATTGTACCCTCAGGCTCGAGGCATATAACATACCTGCATGCTAGTACAATATTTATTTCTTTACAAATGAAGTCCAGAAAAGCGCGAAGGGATTAGAGCCAAAATTTCATAATTTTTTCACAAAAACGGCTAGATCAAATAAAGCATACATATATGCAACTTCTTCATGTCAAGGATGAATAAATTTTCCAAGGGGCTAAAAAAGGGCTAGTGGCAATTTTAAATTTATGTGGCCAAAAAAAGTATGTGGTAGCTAAATCTAGCCACCAAAGGGCTAACACGGCAACACTGCTCGCAACACGAAGAAGATCAGATTTTATGTTGCTCCCGATTGTTTAAAAAAAGGCGCAATTTCTGGAAAAATCGCCAATTATTATTTTTTAAATAAAATTCATGAAATCGATTTAACAAATCTTTTATTTTAAAAATGAGATCTTGTTATAATATATTTTTTAAAACCAAAAACGAATATTATACCTTCAGAGGGTAATAATAAATAACACAAATCACTTATATAATAGTGATGTACAAACAATTTTCTTTAAAAATACGCATACTTCATAAAAATATTTGTTTCAACACATTTTGCAATAGGACTGCGCTATTATTAAATTTAGTATATTTCATATTAATTGATTAATCGCACAATCCGCTTTTAAGAGCTAAAAAATTAAATAAAAACCCATAATAAGGAGAGATCAGCTATTTCCACAATTTCTTCAAAATCTCCTATAGTGTATGAATAATTTACATTTCTGTTGTTGTATTGTATTAGCCTTCATATAAACTTTATTCGAACTATTGAATTAAGGCTCTCTTCTCCAACCTCATCCTATTTCGAATCTTAGTTTTTGTTGAATTCATTACGGAAAAAAACACGCTCAACAAAGCATGTGTTTGCGGCAAGGATAATAATATGAATTTACTTATATTTCCAAACATTTTACTGCCAGTTGCGGTTTTCACTCCGTAAGCAATTATCCAAAATTATTCAGAGTCGGATGGAATGGTTCTGAGAAAAGTTATTCCATGGGAATAGGGGGACCAATAACTAACTCTACTGATGCAAAGTGTCTAATACGCATAAATAAAAAAAGACAGCAACAAAGGCTAAGCAGACACAACAAAATGATTTAAATGTATACATATAATTCTTTGGCTTTTTTGAATTCACTCACCTTATAATTTGTGCCTACCTACACCAAGTTAGTTAACAATTACACATAAATCTAGTAAATAAGAATCAACGCTTTTGCTTGGGACGGCACGAGCCACTCGCGCACCGCATCCAAACTGTGTATATCGCCACGAAAACTAACAAAAAAGCACTGCTCGCACGAATATTTATGTAATTTGCTAATTAAAGCAATAAGTTTTCTTAATTTTACTTTACTTTATTTAGAAAACTATACGCTTTTCACTACATTGAACGCGATTTTTAGAATTTTCAGAAATTATAACACATACCCGACGGAAGCAATCGCGGCACTGTTGAAATGGCGACGGAAATTTAACAAAGCGCAGAGGTGTATTTACACAGTGGAATATGTAGCTAATAAGGTGTTCACAGTGTTGGTTTAGATTGACTAGGTTAAATTTTACGATTATGCAAGCATATTTTAACCCGCCATCTGACAGGTGAATTTACGTAACAAGTTTCGATAGGTGGGTTGCAGCAAACCCCATTGAAATAAAACCTTTTATTCTTAAGTATCCCGTTCTTCACTAAAATTTCTTTACTATTTTTATACCCGAGCGCACTTATGCACAAGGGTATTACAGGCAAAACTAATCGAGTTAGATATAGACAAATGTATACAATCAGAATGAAAAGAGAAATCGATTAAGCGGTGACTGCCTGTCCGTCCGTCCGCCCGTTTGTCGAAAAATCCAAAAATTCATTTTTTGAAAATGGGCACAGCCACGCCCACTTATGGTTACATGTGTTTATCTTGGTAACCGATCCACCAATTTCTCCCAAATTTGGCACAGTTGTTGGCCTTGGTACAGCATACCAAATGGCTGAAAATATTTAGTCGAACAATAACCACGCCCACATAACATATAACGGTAATTTATAGAAACACGAAATCTTCGATAAATCAGTAAATATTAAAGCTAATTTATTCAAAATTGATGCTTGCAACAATTCTTTACCAAGAAATACGTTTATGAGAGAATTTTGGAAAATGGGCATGGAACCGCCCACCTATGATCGCATATATGTATCTCGGTAACCGTTCCACCAATTTGTAGCAAACTCGGTGTAGTTATTGTGCTTGCCACATAAAAGCAAAACGTTGAAAATTATTGAAATCGGATTAAAATTAGGGTCACTTTTCATATAACGGTAAATTTCAGAAATGCTTGAAACTTCTATATTTAATTTGCTCAAAATTGATACTAAAAACAATCCCTTGAAAAGGAGTAACATTATTTGGAATTTTGGAAAATGGGCGCCCACATATGACTATATAAGTTTATCTCATTATGTCTAACTGAATGTTCTATCGAAGATGTTTAAAATAGAGGCAAACCCACTTCGGCTTGCCATGTAGCGGTAGTTTTCGGAAAGGTGAGAAACATACATTTAATACTTGCGCCGGGTAATTAATGTTCGGCTCCGCCCGAACTTAGACTTTCTTACTTGGTTTGTTTTAAATGAAGTGCGGGCATTCTCGTTCATTTTAAAATTCTAATTTGTACAAGCATTACTTGTCGCTTGACCGTGGTACGATCCTCTTTCGATATATTCTCATTCACGCAAATAAAATTGTATATATAATTTTTTGTGTGTATTTCTGCATTTTTTTAGTTGCATACGCAATTATTTCATCAAAATTTTGTTAAAATATACTACCGCTTGACAAATCCTAATATTTAACCTAGTCAATCTACACCAACACTGTGAACACCTTATTAGCTACATATTCCACTTTGTAAATACAACCCTGCGCTTCACTGAATTTCCGACGCCAATTCAACAGTGCCGCGATTGCTTCCGTCGAGTGTGTATTAAAATTTCTGAAAATGCTTAGAACGGTGTTCATTTTAGTTAGTTTTAGTTTTTGTGGCGATATACATTCATAGTTTCCATGCGGTGCGCGAGTGGCTCGGGCCGGCCCGAACAATTGTTTTTTTGTTTTATGAAATTGCTGTGTAGTTGTGCAATTCTTCGCCTAATTTGGTGAATGTTATAAGGTGAGTGAATTAAAAAAGCCAAAGAATTATTTGCGTAGATATATGTATGTAAATTGTTGGCTCCCTATTTTTGCATGTTTCGAAAATGTGCATCAGTAAAGTATTGGGGTTTTTGTTACTCATAATTGATCCCCCTGTATTTCATCCTAATTTATGTTCCCTTTATAAATCCTCAGTAAGCACAAAAACTTACCGCGGTTCGGTGGCATGAATTTAGGCGCATGTCGAAACTGCCTACAGTCAACAGTGTTTGTTAAATTTGTGTAGAAGCAGTGTGAACAGGTTGAGAGCTTATATATTCATACAGTGGTGGCGACATCATTAGGGCACAACTTTTTCTTAAGTTTCTCTTTATTGACTTTAAATTGACTTTTTAAAATAAATAAAGAGAAACTATTCGTGGCCGAAAAATTAACAGCGTTGAATAATTTAACCAGAGAATGTTAACATTCTCTGATTTAACCACGGAATGCGAAAAGGTATTTTTACAGCCAGAAATTGATTAACATAATAAAATGTTTAGCGTCATAAAATCTGATATTCTTCGCGTTGCGAGCAATGTGGCCGTTTTAGCCCTTTGGTGGCTAGATTTAGCTATATAGCATATTTAGCATATATGTATAGCATATATTTAGCATATATAACAAAAAATGGCATATCTGAACAATCAGTTGTATGGGAACTATGTAATAGTGACCCGATATTTGTAATTTTTTTATATAACCAATTCATATATGAATTCGCCGCCTTCTTCTTTACTGCTAATGAGTAGTAGAAAATGACGTATATTCTCTACCCGTAGCGAAATAATCGGTAGAGAAGAGTTACAGAAAAGAGCTTCTGGTTCCAAACAGAGCCTTTTCGTTTCTTGAAATTATTCCAGATTACCAGTTTCTTCAAAGAGAAATTTCGAAGTTTTGAATAATTTTGTAGTCAAGGCCATTGGGCTTAACCACAACTATGTCTAAAATAAATTAAATCTGCTTTTTAGAATTCCTCGGAGTGTCTTACACCGCCTGGATCATAGATTCGACTGTATTTGTTTCATAGAAAAATATATACATACAGTGACGAGCAAAACTGCAACATGATGTAACACTTTTTATTTTAGCCACCGCTATCTTTCATAGTTCTAACGACTTTCATAGTTTTGTTGTATATTCTTATTGGTACACCCCTACTCCCGCTCTCATAAAGATTTGAGGTCAATCCAACAACAATAAAAAAACCTGGAGACAAAAATGTAAGTTAAGGCAAATGTTACAGTTTTGCACTCACTCTCAGTTTTGCATTTGACAGTTATCTCTTACTTAGTTGGAAGTCAGATGACTTTTTTCTGTATTGTAATTTATTGAAGAAGTGATCACCAGTAAATAATATAGTTAATCAGGAACTATAAATGTAAATAATAGATTTAGTGCGGAAAGGCGGGACCGCACGAAAAGTGGCAAAAAATTGTGGAGTGTGCCACATGAAAATGTTAAGACTGAGAAAAAATATAGCCTAAAATGTTACTAAGGACAAAGGAAGTCTGTGAAAATATATTACAGTCCGATATCTTGTGAACTTAGTAGCAAGTAGCGCTGCAGGCACTACTACTGAAGCGCTTAAGGTATTAAAATTGAATGCAAATCAGTAGATAGTGAGACGAAAAATTGCCAAATTGAGTAAAATGGATCATAAAAGAAGAAAAAAGCAAATTTGATCATAATACATGTGCGAGTGTGGCAGCGTTTTGCTGCATCGCACGAAAACCGGACCGTTGCCTATTGGGATATGTTAGGCCGTATATAGTGCAATAAAAAACACATTTTTAAGGTTTAATTGAGGGTTATTTGGTCTGACAAGACTAAATTAATCGCTTTCAATCAGATGGCCGGGCATGGTATTGGATCAAAGGCCCAAATTAAGCCTAAGCGCATCATGTAAGGCAAACTGTGAATCACAGTGTTCGGTCAATATTAGTTTGGGGTTGTATTTCAAAAATGTTGTTGATCCGTTTGTACGCATTATGCCTAAGGAACAGTATCTGCTCAAATTTCAACAAAATTTGCAAGATGTAGTCGAAAAAATTAGAGTTTCTGCTGAAAAGCAACCAAAACACATAGCACATGTTCGCAAAGACTGGAACAAAAGCATAAATTTGCTAATTTGAAATGACCTCCACAATCTGAGGACCTGAATCTCATCGGGAATTTGCGAAATCAACTAAAAGCGCATCTTACTAAGTATCCAGGTCCGTCCAATGGAGTACATGAGCTGTGAAAGCACACCAAGGATATATGGGAGGCTATACCTCCAGAATTTTTCAGACATACACATTAGGTATGCCAAATTGCAACCAGGAACAAAATAAAGCAAAAGCATACTGAACATTGTGTAATAATTCTTTTTTTTGTGAAAATTGTCAAAAAGTTATTAAAAATATATGAGTGCAAAACTGTAACATTTGCCTTAATTTACATTTTTGTCTGCTGGTTTTGTTAATGTTGTTGAATTGACTTCAAATCGTTATGACAGAGGAAGCAAAGATGTACCAATAAAAATATACAACAACAGTATGAATGTCGTTAGAACTTGGAAAGATAGCGACAGCTGAAATAAAAAGTGTTACTCCATGTTACAGTTTTGCTCGTCACTGTACGTACAAAGTTAGACTTCGTATATCGAGTTATACAAAATGAGAAATTTGGGGCACCCTAATGTACTGCGCCAAATGTATTATTTAATCATAAGGAAATACTCAAAAAATTTGCCATTGCTCCAGTAAAGAAATTTGTTTAGTTTAGTTTTTATATTTCAATCGCACTCAACTGCATACCTACACACATTCATTTGTATTTACCTAGGTAGTTTATTGATGGATATAGGTTTGTGCCTTAAACACGCAATGGAATTATTAAACTCATTCAATTGTGAAATTAAGTAACTTTACAACTTACGAGTATAAACGGCCAATTACAGCAATAAAAACTCTTTACAATACAAAGAAAAGGGAGTAAACAGAGTATGATTTGCAATTCTATTTACAATTTTATTTTTATTTTTTAACTTCGTGAT